AAAAATAGAAAGATAAAATTAACATTTTATAATACTATGCAAAAAAAGACTGATCCAAGAAATGAAATTACTTGCTTAGAAAATCCCAAAGAATGTCTTTCCAGGGATATCTGAAATAAAGTCAACTAAAATAGATGAGAAAATGAACCAAGGCATCACAGGCTTAATAGAATCTTCAGGTTTACCAAATAAGAAAAAAATATTAAGAAGGTAACCGAATGAAAAATAAAACAATTACTTTTGGAAGTTATAATAATGATCAGGGTCATTAAATTCTGGCTTTGATTTTTTAAAACAGAAATAGTTCAAAATTTGTAGAGGCTCTCTTATAAACTCATTCATGAGCTCATTCTTCAAGATCAAAGTGTGAAAGCATACATAGATTCTTATGAGAATCTAAACTTATTCAACCAAATGTTATAATTCAATAGTTGTCAACCTGTGTTCCGTGAACCCCTGGGGGGAGGCGCGATATCACAAGAGATCTGCAAAGGTTGAAGAAATGTTATGATTTCATGAACAAGGACACCCGTTCAATTTTGCAGCTACTAAGATTGTTGGACGAGCAGGCACAAAAACAGCCAGGGAAGTGATTGAAGCCTGGGAAACAGGCCCCTCATCAGTCAATAGGAGTGCTGATTTACCACCAGCCTATCAAGTACTTAGAAGGCGAGGGCTGGGCAGCAAATGACAGCTAATGACTTAAAAGCCAGCCATCAACACACCCCAATCAACATCTAAAAAGCCACGTACATCAGGCACTATAAATACCACACACAGAACAGCACACACTCTGCTAGAAAGAAGTTCCCTGAAGATGGGCTCCAGCACAAGTGTGAAAGATTGGAAGACAAAACCTCTAGTCCCGGTGACTGACCCAGATCAGATCCTGCAACATTATTCTGGGACACGTATATACGCCTTCATTCATTATGATTTAAATCTTGAGTTGTCTTGAGGATCCATGGCCATGGTCTGTGGTTACACAAGGCATTTAAAGGGGATCCGTGATGAAGAAAAGGTTGAGAACCACTGCTACAATATAAAGTTAAAGGACAATACTCACATCATAGCCCCAAGAAAAAACAGAACTGTCTTCAGTGGAGGTGCCTGTGAAGCTCTGACAAGCAGACCATGAGTTTGCATTGTCTACTTGATAGTTTGACTCTTTTGTACTTTCAGACTCACTAAAATGCATATTTTGGAGGGAAAAGAAAAAGGGTAAATCAATCTTGAGAGAAAGTAATATGCATACTGATGGCTTACTTTTTCAAATAAAATTGTGTGTGTGAGAGAGAGAGAGAGAGAAAGAGAGATCAGGCACAAACAATCAGGATCAGTGGTAAGGTTGCAACATAGTTTTTTTTTCAAGCCTATACACAAGAATCTGACCAACTAAAGTTCAGCACTAAATTGGCGTCAGAAAAGGGTCAACAGAATTCAGGAGGGGTTGGACTTGCAGTGCTTGTGGGACTCTAAGCTAATGACTTGCTTAACTCCGGCCCCCAGTTCTGCCTGCTCTTCTTCTACATTATACACAGAGAAGAGACACGTTTTTATCTTTGTAAGTGCCCAAAGTCATTGACAGTGAGTTGGGCAGCCATATAAATTGAATGAAAAAAGTTGTTCCTCGTGCTTTTGCTATATAATGTGTCTATTTAAAACATATTTTACTTTGTACAAACACTCATTCTTGGTTTCCAGAATGGTTGTGCTCTATCATCATGACCAAATACAGTCCTGATTCACACACAACGTGGCTTGTTCCTTTTGGTTCTAGCATTATGTCCAAGCACAGCTATTTACTATTTACACAGCTATTTACTATTTACCAAGCACAGCTATTTACTATTTACTAAAGCTATTTGAACAGAGCTTTAAAAAAATGAAAATGAAAAATGGATATAAGAATGCTTCTTTTATAACTTTTACTTTCTTAAAAGTAAAATCCTCCACCACAATTAATTATATATCCCAATACCTTGAAATATCTTCTTGACTTTCAGTGGATGGGTAACTGTCATCCAGTGAATCCGGCAGGGGATGATGTTCTAAGGTATTCTTTGTAAGTCCTCGACTAAAAATAAATTAAAATGACATTTGCTTGGCGACACTGAATTTCTTCAACTCAGTAAACAGATAGCATTAAAAATTATTAGAAAGTGTATCCTATTCTCAATAACTTCAACAGGCAATTCCTAGTTTATTAGCCACAAACTTTTTGCCAATTCTCTCTCTTAAAGCACTTATCAACCCAACCAACCACAATTCATGAACCTGAAAGAGCTGAGGTTCACTCCAGTTCTGTAGAAAAAAACCAATCAGCTTATGCAATCCAGACAAGGGAAATTTACTGTAGCCCTACAAGGAAACATAACTTTTGCTATGTTTCCACATTTGATTTATCCTCAGAATATTTGAACAAGAAATGCACGGACGTCCAAGCACTGTCATGTAGAGTATATAACACAGTGTTATCTCATGCCTCTCCTCCCAGAAATCTATTAAAAACAAAGAACTGGTTCAAACAAGGTGGAAATTACAGGTGGTCCTCAACTTACAACCAATTGTTTAGTGATCAGTTCAAAGTTACAACAGTACTGAAAAAAGGGACTTACGATTGTTTTTCACACTTATGATTGTTGCAGCATCACTATAGTGACATGATCAAAATTCAGATGTTTGGAAACTNGTCATGTAACATTGCGAGTTTGACACCCCTGCTCTAAGACCACCCTCACTAACGCTGACAGGGTAAGCCACTAGAATATAAACGGGCAGCAAACCACACTCCTTACTAGCACTGATGATGTTATCTAGTTTGGGTAATGAAACGTCTTCAAGAAAACAAGCTAAAAAACCAAGGACCCCTTACATTCATAACCTTTTTTTAAAATATTATGCCTTGTTGGACAACTATTACACTCAAAATACTTTCACATTCCTTAACCCAACTTTATACTTTCCCTTCCTCAGAGGCAGTTTTCTTAATTTATCCAAAAAGTATTTGCCCCTCACAGACTGCGTAAATTCCTGCTGAGATTAAAATAATTATTCTAAATCAGAATAACTGGTGGTTACAATAGCAATAGCACTTAGACTTATATACCGCATGTCAGGGTTCCGGCTAATGAAACACTTCAAAGAACTTCCAGGCATTGATTTTCCTAAAAGTCTTTTATTTATGTTACAAAATGTCGGCACAGCATGACGAAGGGGATGCTAAGATCTGAAATTTCCACCCACCGAGCAGTTATTTTGCTAGCATTTCCCCTCCCTTATTCTGCTGTCATGATTTACGTTCTCCAATTAGTTTGAAGGGCAAAGGTTCTCTTCCGCCCTCTTTTGCGGGCTTTTCCCTCCTCCCTCATTCTCCTCTGAATTAACTCTAAAAGTACCAGACAGTTCAGCATAATTTGTCAAAGCAAGACTATTCAATATTAGCAGCGTTGACACCGCTTCTCAATGCTTTATAGCCCTCTCTATAAGTCAGCATATTGCCCCCAATAATCTGGGTCCTCATTTTACTCACCTTGGAAGGATCGAAGGTTGAGTCAACACTGAACTTCTTCATTAATTCATTAGGTTGTATATACTGTTTCTATATTACTTTGTATATGACATTTGATTATCCAGTGTCATGGCAACAACTACTAGTCTATCAATATTTGAGTTATTATTGTCCAGAGCTCAGATCCAAAGAGAAAATTAAACAGTAGCTTTTTGTTATTTCCCTCTGAGCAGCAACTTGTAAAGAGTAACTAAACTTTTTCTTTCCATATAGCTTCTAGCAAATTATTTCCAGTATGTCTTTTAATATAGAAAGTAGGCACAAAGATCTTTCCTGGTTTTGTAGAGCCAGACCAATAATGTCAACGCTTCTTAAGAATATAGTTTGTACATGGAAGAGATGCATTATTGATGCTACAGCTGTTTATTTAACAAAAAAAACCCAAAACTGGTTTGTATAATAAACTCAAGATAGAAATGGACTGAATAATTGAATATTCATCTCTTAAAACAAAAATAAGATTGTAATTTTAAAAAGTTCACTTTCTGCTGCAGATGACAAGGGCTTAGTTGGTCAAAAACAATAACTGCAATCCTTGTGAAGTGATCGCAGGCACTTACTCACTAGGATCTTTCTCTTGCATGGGACTCATGCCTGATGAAGTCAAAGTGCTGCACGCTGAACTAATATACCATCCATAGCCTTCATCAGTGGGTATCACTATTTGCTTCCCCACAATCCTGATGTTAAAGAGAAAATTATAAAATATTAGTTGATCTGAATAAACTTATTAAACGTTATCTGCTCTAAAAATTATACACATACATTAGACCAATCCTAGAATACTGTTCAACTGTCTGGAATCCTTACCGCTTATCAGACATTAACAAAATCGAGAGAGTTCAGAAGTACTTTATATGAAAAGTCTTGCATTCTTCTGTCTCTAATAGAATACCCTATGCTACAAGGCTTCAAATTCTTGGCTTGGATAGTTTAGAACTGCAATACTTGCAGTCAGACTTAGGTATTGAATACAAAATTGTACATAGTAATGTTTTGCCTGCAAATGACATTTTTAGCTTTAATTGTAATGTAACACGTGCGAACAACCGCTTTAAAATTAAAGTAAGCCGCTTCTAAACTCGATTGTAAAAAAATTCCATTTTTGTAACAAAATTGTCAAAGTCTCTAGAATATCTTACCTGATTCACTTCTCTCGGTCATTAACTTTCAGTTTTAATTCTAACTTAGCCTCTGTGGTTAGGAGGCTAGTTAAGAGGCTACTCCATATATAAGAGGGTCCTAAGGGGGCATGCATAAGTGCCCTGGCATGCCTATCATACCTGTTGCATTCTGATTTTATTTTCTTTGCATGAATTTGTAATTTTTGTTTGACAAATAAAATAAAATAATAAAATAAATAGGCATGCCCCAAAGACAGCTAGCAAATATGCAAAGGCTGCAAGTCAAAAAAGCAGATTGCATGCCATAAAGCAGGGTTCCCCAACCCCTGGTCTGTGGATCAATACCGGGCCGCGGTATGACAGCAACTGGTCTGCACAAACATGCAAAGCCCCATCCGTGAGATACAGGCAGCACACAAAACCACGCACCCTCCGGTCCGTGGAAAAACCTTTCTCTACGGAACCGGTCCCTAGTGCCCTAAAGGTTGAGGACCTCTGCCATAAAGGACACCTGTTGTGGCTCCGTCCGGTGGGTCCCTCTCATCAGAGGAGGAAGGCTCTGAACATGACGGAGAGGAGATGGCTAGGCCTCTCTCTCCCGGCCCTTCCCCTCTGGTGCAGCCTTCGGTGCCTTCCGACAGCGAGGAGTTTGGCCAGGAGCCCGGTGTTTCTGGGATTGGCCAGGAGCCCGGTGCTTCTGGGATTGGC